CGAGGTTTTTGGAGGCGCAATTTTTGTTGAACCGAGGTTTTCTTTGAAAAAGGAATATATGCAACCATGGATGATAGAATAACTTCCGTGACTTCAGAAGCATAAATAGATGGATCTTTAGAGCTGAAATAAACATCTATTCAGAGGATATTTCGGAAATAGTCTTGAAGATTCTTCCATTCAGCAGATCTGTAATTCCAAAATTTGTACGGCTTAGATTGTTCCCCATCATTTATTGACAATCCACTCAACACTGAAATCAGTTTGTAATTAGAAGATCTCAATGGAAACCTTACCGTGACTGTGTAAATTTCTGGATAGGTTGTTGAATATAGATCCAGAAGACTAGCATATTTTCCATCACGGTAAGGAATCTTGTTCGGATCATTTATAATCTGAGTAAGTCCGCTGCTTATTGAAAAGCATCAGCTTCGGGACCTTGATATTCCAAAGTTACGTCTGAATCGGGAGTGGAAATCATTGCCGGGATACAGAAAATTGACAAGGTTTGTTGAAGCACTGACTTTGGTTTCTGTGAGTGCAAGAATATGAGGACTATTTGTTTTCCGATGTTGGTGTACTAAGTTCAGATCTGAGTTGAGTCCTCTGATGTTGCAGACATCGATTGTGAAGTTGCTAGTGGGCCTCTTAGCAAGTGCAGTTATCATGATATTTCCCTGTGGACTGATGTTAGGAAGACCCATGTTGACTGCCAGGATGATGCTCTCGAATCAGCCCACACCCGGAGATCCGATTGGGGAGCTATTTTCCTTCCGGAGTATTTTGACCCTAGGAGCGGAAGCAACTTACCGCTGCCTGAGCCGTTGCGATGATATATCATCGGACGATGACGGGTGGGACCAGCATCTACCACCATTTGCCTCTGAGCCACTATCTGACTCCAAAAACTCTAAAATCTTTTTCACGTCAACGTTGTGTAGGCCATGGTAAAAGCTGCTTCTTGGCTGCTTTGGTGATAATACCAGTGCCAACTTTCTTATTTTCGTACCCAATCATTTGTCAAATTCTACACTACCTTATAGGTAGTGCAGATAAAACGTGTTGTAGCTTTTCACGGGGTACTAGGCAGTAGTGATTCATGGGTGTGAGGATGCAATACTTGGTGAACGCATCTTCAATTACCAAAATATGCTTGAAGCCCTCGGTCAACACGAGTAATGGACCCAAACAGTCCAAATGCAACGTGTGAAATAGTTCTTTAGGAATTTCGACCGGATGCACGAATCCCTGTGAGGGTATAGTCCTTGTCTGTTTCACAACACAAATAACGCAATGTTCAATGTAACATTTGACGAATTGCCTCTTTCGTGGAAACCAAAAATGTTCAGCAATCGACTCGTATGTTTTTTAGTATCCAACATGACATTGTTCATCATGAAATATACGAAGACGGCCTAAACGACTTTGGCTGGGATTTAATCAAATGAGTGAATGGATGTCATTACGATGTCATCGATGACATAACTTATTCCGTGACATAAAAATCGAAATTTACGATTGAATTGTGTGATTTTTTCTTATAATGTTATAATGTACTGAAGAGCCTTAAGGTAAGTGTCTTACGGCGAAACATCGGTGTCTACCAGTGAGGATGACAGTGTTCTATATAAGTGAAATTTTTACCTATCATTCAGTATATTATGTAGAAATCCTGTGGATGATATCTGATTTAATTCCATAACAAATGTTTGGAATACAAACTGAGTGGAGGCGAGTGTTTTTTGTATATTTCAGTGCTCATATAAAAGTATTTGTTTGGAAAAAATTTGTCTTTCGTGTAACTCAATGTTTATATGAAAGTAGCTGTTTCAGGAAGACTTTCTCTTTCAGTTTGTGTCTGAAAGTTATTTCTTTGCATGATCTACACATCTATGTATAGAGTTACTTTTTTAAAAATTGATTACTTTCTTCCTTTCTTCGGAAGATTTCCACATTTTTTGTATTAAGTTGGAGTAGTAGAAAGTCAAAAACTTTATTTCCCAAAAATAACTAAAACTATTCTGATGAAGTTTACAATAAATCCAAATATGCCCGAAATGATCTGTATGTATATGTGAGGATGATAATATTCATGTAGAATCCTTAAAAGAAACTGACTGAATTATTAGTCATCACAGTCCATTACAAGTTCACATGGACACCACATATTTACACACTCTTGCGGAAAATTACGTTTAAATTGTTATACCTCAAGATTCTTGTATAACTACTGTTATGTTAAAATTTTGTTGAAACTGTTTTATGTCACCCTTTATTATTATTTGCGGTGTGGGATGTTGAACTAGGGTTCAGTAGCCTCCGAGGGAAAGTTTTCATTCTGCAGGAAGTCATCAGTAGTCCAAATATTCGCTAGAAGATGGGATCGTCTTGATCTGATGCTTGTAGGAGAACGGGGGTGGCAAATGAATAGTTTCAATGAACTCGGCACTTCTCATTCCCCAAAACAGATTCAATATTTCGCGGAGCGTAGGCAATACCAATGTCTCGTCAATATCGTAAAAATGCCGTAGATGGTGATGAATCACTCTTAGGGCCGCATTATGTCGAGGGATATAGGCTGAGACCCCATATTCTGCACATTATTATCATTATAATTATAATCCCGGTTCGTGAAAAATGTGTTGCTGGTCACAATCAAGAAAAAACTTCAGAAGATATATTTCATATACCTCATTTTTGTAAACAGAGTATTTATTCAACAGTAGATTCATAACCTACATATCTCCCAATCCGGATGATGCTGATCTGATGGTTGCATGCTTATATATTACTGTTGAGACATGGATAGAAAATGGCTGCCAACCAGCTATCGTTAATTTACTAACGACAATCATCAGAAGTCAAAACCCGTGGATAAACGAAATCTTCTAACGTGCAATTCCTAGCTTGGTTTGGACGATACGTAGTAAAAATCGATCATGAGGACGTCGGGCTCGAATCACCTTTCCACATATCGGCTACCATCCCTCCATATTATATGTATAGTTGTTGACCAAGCGGAGAGTTTATAAATGACCAGTTTTCAAAATTTTCATTTTGGAAACTGTGTTAGGAATCACACGTTGAAAGGTAAGACTTTGTTAGTTCTTAGCTCACACAAGTTTCTCAACTTTTGAGAGTTGTCGTTCGTATGGGGGCGACAGCTGATTAACGAAAAAACAGATTTTAAACAGAAACAGATAAGAATTTTAAAATTTGCATTATTTTAATTATTAGAAATCATTGAAAAGTATATATGGATCAGTTAAACGACTACTAACACCAAGTTTAGACGTGAAGATAATAAATGGCTCTTCTGACCCCAAAATAAAAAGTATTTATGTTACTTTTACCAGTTGAGAGGTTAATTAACAATTGTCTGTCACTTATTCAAAAAACCCTAATTCGTAGTATTTCTTTGCCTTAGTGTGTGATAACTATAACTTGATTTTTGTGATTTCCAGACAGCGACGGCGAAACCTTTACTCAATTAAAAAAACATTCAATTCAAGATTGATTTAATGTAGCCTACATGAATGACTGCATTAATGTAGGCTACAATGAATAATGAAATCTATTCAACATTGAAATTTTTATTTTTGTCATGATGCATGAACAAAAGTCGAAATAATAACTGATTGAGTGAGGATTTGAATACCCTCCAGAATGATAATACCTATTACTCATCCTCTATTTTGTTTTTGGAAAAGAGAATTTGGCTGTCACCGCTAGTACCATATAACATATTAATTCCTTCTATAAACTTCAAATAATTAGTTATTCTCTTAACAGAAGGACTATACATATATGGAAATGTTTAATTCACGCTGAAGTAAAACCTTCTTTACTCAATAAATTCTCTCTCTTATTGAATAAATAATATTTTACAAACATGTAACAAAATTATAAAAAAAATAACTCACAAAATGATAACTTATTCAAAACGTTTTTTAAGATACACTACCTACACCACTGGTTTCATTTAAGTCTGATAATGTTCATGGACTCATTGTAAATATAAAGTAAACAATCCGATACGATTCAGTTCCATATATTTGATAAAATAGTAGTGTTTTCTCAGTTTCCATGTTGTAGCAATTGGATACAGTTCCGAAAATGGTTAAAGCAAAAGTCTACATATTCGAAAAACAATTTGACGGATTTCCCAAATCAGGAGATCTGAAAATTATTGAAGAAGAATTGCCGCCTATCAAAGATGGAGGTAAGAAATTGATTATTTATAGTATCGTTGAATACGAATATGAATAATATATTTTGAAACTTAAAATAAACATGTGATTGTATAGAAAACGGATCGTGTAAAATAATTTTCTTTCCAGTGTTTACAAACATAACCTCTTTGCACAGTAGCGTAACTAACGATGAATTTTATGAACTTTATGTTCAGTTGAAATCTTTAAAACCAAAGGGTGAGGAAATAAATAAATTATAAATTGCAGTACCGATGTAATTGGCTAAATTGGTAAATTACACAAAAAAATTAATATGAAAAGGAATTAAATTGATACAATGAATAAAATGTGAATACCAAAACCTAATTCGTGAAAAAACAAATTGTAACAAGCTAATATGAAATAATGGTAATACCAGTTTTCGACTGTAATTATTTCTAACACAATCTCATGGAAACATCGAATTGTGGATTATTCCTTTCTATCCAACGCATATCCAGTGCATATGCAAACGGTAGGTGCATATGATACATCATTTGAGAAGTTTGTTGATTCTCTATCCACCAATATAAGGTTTTTTGAATTTTTTTGATATATTACATTTCTATCAATCATAATATTAATAATATATAATAATATACATGGCCACCTAACACCTTAAGCCTTTGATGAGTTGCGCCACCACTTATCCGAGCAACTGGTCCAAAACCAAACGCACCCGGGAGGGAGAACCCACCTTCCTCCGGTGCCGGCCGTGGGGCTATATGGGGCTAACATGAAATCTTTCGACACACGTTTGACTCGTTTTGGCGTCAACAGGAATCGATTGCTACTGATGACTATTTTCACACAGATTAGCTATCCGTTCGAATGTTTAGCGGTAGAAGGCAATTTTGAAGTTGCTTTCAGGTATGCCATGTTGAATTGTGACTCATATACCAATATGTGAATTAACAATCCAATTTTGGGCTAATAAATAAACAATTACTCATGAGTGGAAAAATCGATGTTTTCTTCGAATGAAAGGTGAAAATAAGTAAAAGAATAACAAACATTTCTGAACCATCTACAACAACAATAAACGAAAAAATTGAAAATACTCCACCATTGGGAGAGAAAGCAAAATGAACTTTGCAGAAAAGTTAGCGATAGCGAATAAATACATTTTTAAAAGAAATACAGATACTCCAACAAGGTGAAATATTTCAGGTTTGATGAAAAGTTTAAGGCGCAATCATATTGCAATTAGTAGGTATACTATAGCGATTCGGCCTCAAACGGCGGGAATAAACTGTCGAAGATCAGGTCGATGGCTAGGTGGATGGCCGGGAGGAAGCCAAAAAGAGAGATCCCGCGAAGAGCAACCCTTGGGGGTGGTTTTCGCTTGGAGATGCGGCACAGAAATTAAGGTTAAGAGTTAGCTGTGACGTGTGCCTGAGTCCTCGATTTGGTCCTCGAATTGGTCTTCGAATTGGTCCTCAAATTGGTCCTCGATTTAGTCTTTGGTTTGGCCCTCGAATTGGTTCTTGAATCGGTTCTCGACTTGATCATCGATTTGACTCGAGAAAAAACAATGGCCGACTACCATTTGTCATTTATGGTCTCTTGACGCGCGTTTGGTCAGATATCATCATCAGGAGATTACCAAGACTAAAAAATCTCAGATGTATGTGAACATAACAGAAAGATTCACGGAAAGATTCACATTGATCGCACGTGTATTATGTCATTGAGAAATATATATGCATATAGATACAGAGTGTATGTATTCATTATTATGAGAAAAGGCATGGAGTTTTCCGGTTGTCATTCAGTGAATTGTGTCACTATCATCGACGAGGGAATACATCATGATGGTGATCAATATATGAATTAACGAAGTGTCGGATCTTTACGATTCGTCGGAAAATGAACACTTTATATAAAATATCAACATTATCAAGACTGCGGCTGAACGGACTTCCTTTGGAATGATGCATACAGAAAAGTATGTTTTTTCTCGAATTTCGTCCACCATGCATCTTCAATGTCTTCCAAATTCACAACTGCTGTGTATTCATTGAATAGGCGTAGTCTGTCATCCAGAAAGACTTTTTTCTGATGACCACGCATATAAATCTTGCAATTTAATTTGTCCATGAGGAAATATTCGTTTAACTTTGAGTTCAATATTTTCAATGTTCAGCTTAAGTTCCGTCTTTAACGTTACTGTGCCAGAAATCTCATCTATTTTGAAACAGTTGCTATCATCTCCAGCTCGTACTAATCGGATGACGTGTTTACCGTAGGAAACACAGTGATAATCATTGCAAATTTTCTAGAAATGTCTAATTGTTATGAGCATGTTGAACGTTGAAAATGCAGTTTGAATGATGCCTAGGCTCTCGAGATATTTCCATCCTGAGATGACCAAGTGCTTGATATCTTCATCGGTGTAGGTGAGAAAGCCTCTGACAGTACTAACAATTCCAATTTCACGAACTGCTTCTAATTCTTTACTATTCTCCTCATAGCTGGCAGATTGAAACATGAAAGCACCAGCATTGTTTTACGAAGGTAACACGACCATCTCCTTCAATCCTCTCAACTTTTCTTCTGATGAATAGCAAGCTGTCGTACAAAGCATCACAGGAATCGGATTGATTAATGCTGATTTCAGTGACATCATTGTTGCAGAAAGATTTCACATACGGGTAGTAGGTCCGCCATTCTACATTTTGTATGGATTTGTGGTTTTGTGGTTTTCGGAAAATGTTGAACACTCAATTAGACAACATGATAACCCAGAGATTCCAAAAATAATGCATTGCCCTTTGACAGTTGTTGAAGGTCTTGGTGAAGACGACGTAGGGTTTGGTGATGAGTTATTCTTATAGATAATTAACACCATACTATCGCTTCAATTCCAAACGAATTATCATTTCTTCGTTTCTGAAATCAATGCGCCTAGAATGCTGGTCAAGCACTCGCAATGTAATGTTTATTTGATTCGTATGAGAAATGGGTAGATGGATTGATCAACATCAACGGCAAATTATTATATCATATTAGACGGTGTGTCGTTGTAGAAGGCTCCAAACATAATGTTGCTATCTATGTATATATCCGCAGGTAGATCGGATGTGTAATGCAAGTTGTGCTTGAGAAGAGTAGACAAAAACCCCAAAATGTGAGCCAAGCTATTTGCAGGTTGAAAATCAATCGAGTGTTTCAAACAAAATATTTCGTTTTTATGCGTGTGAATGTCCGGTTTGAGATGGAAAAATTCTTGGGGATTTTCCTTGTACATTTTAGGCAATATCACCAATTCCATAAGATCCAAAAGGGATATCAATACTTTTTTATTTAGTTTTGTCGTCAATTTCGTAATAATAGAATTTCATGGCTTCTTCAATGTTCGGTATACTGTTGCACAAATGGAAACTGAGCAAAGCTAAACTGCATTCTGAATCGGAATCCAATCGAATGGATGGATTGAAATCGATGGAAAGTATCGAAGAACGACTATTAGAGTTAATATCATAGACATGGCTGATACGTTTCCCACATGTACACACCTAAAATAATGATCATAAACCACAATATTTTGAATATTTTTTTTTTACAATAATAACATTCTCTTTGTAAGCTAACAGGACATCGCTTTTTGTTATGATGACGCAGCTGATGTAAGCACCTCATGTCGGTAATGGATGTAACATGATAAACGAATCTGCAAAGTGAATTGGTAGTCCTTTGGTAATCTATGCCAAACATCCAATAATTCCCAAGGTTCAGCATTCTCAATCAGATAGTCAAAAGATAGAGTTTTCAATTCAGCATCGGTTAAATCCCGCAAAGATTTATTTCTAAGCATTTTTGTATGTATTATGGAGTAGAAACTGTAGGCACAGATGTCCGCAATTACTTTGGGCAAAATTTTGATACCGATCATTATTATATGTAATCGTTATACCGCTTCAAAATATCGTACCAATTCCATTGAAGGTTTGAGATTACCGAAGCTACTAAAATATTGTACAGCATTGCCGTTTCAAATGTGAGCTTCCCAATGAGCGCCTGCATTCAATTAGTTCAATACAGCACATTCTCGCTGACAAGAATCACAAGTTGGCAACGCGTCACGCATAAAGACTCCACGAAAATGCAGAATTTTCAGTTGACGGGCACATTTTTGAATTTCCGAATCATATAATGCTCTATGGGGTAGCTTCAATAGGAGTTTTTTTTGCTTTTTCAAATAAAGACCTCTTCCTTTGCGTTGATGTCGTTTTTTTAGAAACAGTCCAAATCCTCGAAGTGTTTTGCATAGGTACAAATCGGAACCCAAATGCATCTATCACGATTTTTGCGATAACGCTCTCTCCAACTGACAACGAACTCAAAGCTGAAAATCCGGCAAATACGAGTATGAGTGGTAGGATTCCTACAGATTTTGCTTCAAATGGAATTACTCTCGGTATATGTATCTTCTTACGTCCTCCAGCTTTGCCATTTTTGCTGCCATTTTTGCGGTCTTTAGAGCCGATGCCGTGAATTCCTTTACATCATTCGTCATGGGCTTCCAGTTTTTTATTATATTGACGAATAGAGCGCTGGCGTTCTCGCAAAGTTTGTGTCTTTAGAATTTCACTCGTTGCCAAACCTTTTTTTCGAGAGCTTTATCAGCTGAGTCCAAGGGCGGCAAAACGAAATTCCATTTTCATACTCGGTGCTTTTGTCTGTGATGGACAACAGAAAATTCTTGAATATTATTCCATATGCGCCGACATAAGGACATTGATGTCATCTATCTATGTCAGACGTATTACAAGATACCCAAACAACTGACACGCGACAATTGCAATATGACTGTATTGTTCTAGCAAGACGAAATAAATTTGGAACATATATTCGATGAACACGTTTCTTTCGACATATCTTTCGATGAATTAAAGAGAATGTGTGCCAAATGTTGGCGCGACAAGTAGGAACTTTTATCATTGTCAAGAAATGTGATTTGAATGCGGGGCGATATCGAAAAGGTTTC